TTGTGACCAGCACCAGACCAGTGTTGCGTACAGTATTATTGTGACCAACACCAGACCAGTGTTGTGGTGTACAGTATTACTGTGACCAGTACCAGACCAGTGTTGTGGTGTACAGTATTATTGTGACCAGCACCAGACCAGTGTTGTGGTGTACAGTATTATTGTGACCTGCACCAGACCAGTGTTGTGGTGTACAGTATTATTGTGACCAGCACCAGACCAGTGTTGTGGTGATAAGATAAGATAAGATTTCGTTCGGATTTTTAACCCCGGAGGGTTAGCCACCCAGGATAACCCAAGAAAGTCAGTGCGTCATCGAGGACTGTCTAACTTATTTCCATTGGGGTCCTTAATCTTGTCCCCCAGGATGCGACCCACACCAGTCGACTAACACCCAGGTACCTATTTGCTGCTAGGTGAACAGGACAACAGGTGTAAGGAAACGTGTCGAAATGTTTCCACCCGCCGGGAATCGAACCCGGGCCCTCCGTGTGTGAAGCGGGAGCTTTAGCCACCAGGCCACTGGGCCACCCACAGTATTATTGTGACCAGCATCAGACCAGTGTTGTGCACAATATTATTGTGACCAGCACCAGACCAGTGTTGTGGTGTACAGTATTATTGTGACCTGCACCAGACCAGTGTGGTGTACAGTATTACTGTGACCAGCAGGCCATTGTAGTGGTGTACAGTATTATTGTGACCAGCACCAGACCAGTGTTGTGGTGTACAGTATTATTGTGACCAGCACCAGACCAGTGTTGTGGTGTACAGTATTAATGTGACCAACACCAGACCAGTGTTGTGGTGTACAGTATTACTGTGACCAGCACCAGACCAGTGTTGTGGTGTACAGTATTACTGTGACCAGCACCAGCCCAGTGTTGTGGTGTACAGTATTATTGTGACCAGCACCAGCCCAGTGTTGTGGTGTACAGTATTATTGTGACCAACACCAGCCCAGTGTTGTGGTGTACAGTATTATTGTGACCAGCACCAGACCAGTGTTGTGGTGTACAGTATTATTGTGACCAGCACCAGTGTTGTGATGTACAGTATTACTGTGACCAGCACCAGACCAGTGTTGTGGTGTACAGTATTATTGTGACCAGCACCAGTGTTGTGATGTACAGTATTACTGTGACCAGCACCAGCCCAGTGTTGTGGTGTACAGTATTATTGTGACCAACACCAGCCCAGTGTTGTGGTGTACAGTATTATTGTGACCAGCACCAGACCAGTGTTGTGGTGTACAGTATTATTGTGACCAGCACCAGTGTTGTGATGTACAGTATTACTGTGACCAGCACCAGACCAGTGTTGTGGTGTACAGTATTATTGTGACCAGCACCAGTGTTGTGATGTACAGTATTACTGTGACCAGCACCAGACCAGTGTTGTGGTGTACAGTATTATTGTGACCAGCACCAGTGTTGTGATGTACAGTATTACTGTGACCAGCACCAGACCAGTGTTGTGATGTACAGTATTACTGTGACCAGCACCAGACCAGTGTTGTGGTGTACAGTATTATTGTGACCAGCACCAGACCAGTGTTGTGGTGTACAGTATTACTGTGACCAGCACCAGACCAGTGTTGTGGTGTACAGTATTATTGTGACCAGCACCAGACCAGTGTTGTGGTGTACAGTATTATTGTGACCAGCACCAGTGTTGTGATGTACAGTATTACTGTGACCAGCACCAGACCAGTGTTGTGGTGTACAGTATTATTGTGACCAGCACCAGACCAGTGTTGTGGTGTACAGTATTATTGTGACCAACAAATATTGTCAAGGAAAACAATGCAATATGACAAGCAGCTATAAGAGTCAGATACAAGACAATATATATATATATATATATATATAATATATATATATATATATATATATATATATATATATATATATATATATAAATATATATATATATATATATATAATATATATATATATATATACAATGTGTGTACTAGATTAAAATAACAGTAACTGTATAGACAAAGGTAAAGTCATTCATGTATCAAAATGGTTATAACTATCACCATAATTTTTAATGTGGTGGAGGGGTAAGCCAGGGAAAGGTCTCGGTCAGATGACCAAAAGCTCCAGCTGTGGGTCATCACATGACTTAGACCCACGTCAGGAAACACTTGTCCTGTTTCCTGACGAACCTTACCTAACCTAACCTAACCTAACCTAACCTAACCTAACCTAACCTAACCTGACCTAACCTAACCTAACCTAACCTAACCTGACCTAACCTAACCTAACCTGACCTAACCTAACCTAACCTAACCTAACCTGACCTAACCTAACCTAACCTAACCTGACCTAACCTAACCTAACCTAACCTGACCTAACCTAACCTAACCTGACCTAACCTAACCTAACCTAACCTAACCTGACCTAACCTAACCTAACCTAACCTGACCTAACCTAACCTAACTTAACCTAATCTAACCTGACCTGACCTGACCTGACCTGACCTAACCTAACTTAACCTAACCTAACCTGACCTGACCTAACCTAACCTAACCTAACCTGACCTGACCTAACCTAACCTAACCTGACCTGACCTAACCTGACCTGACCTAACCTAACCTAACCTGACCTAACCTAACTTAACCTGACCTAACCTAACCTAACCTGACCTGACCTAACCTAACCTAACCTAACTTAACCTAACTTAACCTGACCTGACCTGACCTAACCTGACCTAACCTAACCTAACCTAACCTAACCTGACCTAACCTGACCTAACCTAACCTAACCTAAACTAACCTAACCTGACCTAACCTGACCTAACCTAACCTGACCTAACCTGACCTAACCTAACCTAACCTAACCTAACCTAACCTAACCTAACCTGACCTAACCTGACCTAACCTGACCTAACCTAACCTAACCTAACCTAAACTAACCTAACCTGACCTAACCTGACCTAACCTAACCTAAACTAACCTAACCTGACCTAACCTGACCTAACCTAACCTAACCTAACCTAACCTAACCTAACCTAACCTGACCTAACCTGACCTAACCTAACCTAACCTAACCTAACCTGACCTAACCTAACCTAACCTAACCTAACCTGACCTAACCTGACCTAACCTAACCTAACCTGACCTAACCTGACCTAACCTAACCTAACCTAAACTAACCTAACCTGACCTAACCTGACCTAACCTAACCTAACCTAACCTAACCTGACCTAACCTGACCTAACCTAACCTAACCTGACCTAACCTGACCTAACCTGACCTAACCTGACCTAACCTGACCTAACCTGACCTAACCTAACCTAACCGAACCTAACCTAACCTGACCTAACCTAACCTAACCTGACCTAACCTAACCTGACCTAACCTAACCTAACCTAACCTGACCTGACCTAACCTAACCTAACCTAACCTAACCTGACCTAACCTAACCTAACCTAACCTGACCCTAACCTGACCTGACCTGACCTAACCTGACCTGACCTAACCTAACCTGACCTAACCTAACCTGACCTAACCTAACCTAACCTAACCTAACCTGACCTAACCTAACCTAACCTAACCTGACCTAACCTAATCTAACCTAACCTAACCTAACCTAACCTGACCTAACCTAACCTAACCTAACCTAACCTAACCTGACCTAACCTAACCTGACCTAACTGTATAAACAAACATAAATCCATAACAGTTACATATTTACAATAAAAACATTTTTTGGGGTGAATTGAAAGTAGTATAGGCTACGATTTTTTTTCATTTGGGTGTTCCTTCGCGCATCCCTCCAATTATGGGTGGAGGGGTGCCTCGATGCTAGTGAAGGGCTCTTGATCCAGGGAACATGAGCTACCCTCCCCTCCCTAGGAGTAAATTTGCATGATAAGTACGGGTTTAGTGCTTCCCTATTAATGTACATAACTAATTAATTTTGGGTAATATTAGTGTTTGTGTGAGCGTGACCTTCCTTGCTCGAGTCAGTAGGAAGCACTGTGGTAGCAACCGAGGCACCCGGGTTCAATCCTAGAGCTGGTGAAGACACTGAGCGTGTTTCCTATCACCTGCTTCCCCTGCTCACCTTGCAGTAAATAGGTACCTGGGTGTTAATCTTCAGTTGTGAGTCGCATCCTGGGGGAGGGGGGACCAAAGTACCGCACAAAAACTAAGCCACATTGCCTGGCTTCCTTGGGTAATCGTGGGTTACTAACCCTCAGAAAAATCATCTGCTACTCGAGTACGGTAAAACATATGGACAAGTCTCCTAACAACTGCTGCCTCTGTTACTTAGTAGTAAAGACATTTCTGGGAGTTAGATGACTGTTGTAGATCGCATCCTGAGGCAGGACCCTAAAAATTACCCTAATGGAAATAAGCCCTATTGCTTGGCTTTCATGAGTTACCCAAGGTTATGAAGCATAATACTAATACTAATAATAACAATCTTTATTTCTACAAATACATGATACAACTTATACAGACCATAGCTGACATCAGTGACATACTATATAGAAAAAAACCTGGTTATGCAGAGCATTTCGGGCAAATTAGGTTAATTTTGTCCCCAGGATGCGACCCACACCAGTCAGCTAATACCCAGGTACCTATTTCCTGATAAGTGAAGAGGGATAACAGGTGTTTTATTAAGGAAACAGCCCCAATGTTTCCACCTATACTAGGGATCGAATCACGGATCTTAATTTGTGCCGAGTGCGCTACCAACCGAGCTACGGGAAACCCAGGGTTACTCGTCAGAGCAACTCTTCATGGGTGATGTCACAACGCCTCATGACCAATGTGAGAAACACCAGATGGTTCTCGTCTTCATCCTTGGTCTGCTTCACTAACTGCCTCCTTGGAGACAACCTAGCAAGATACTAAATGTACTAGGGTGTAGACTAGAGAGGGGTGGGTACTGGTGGGAGAGGTTAGGGGTTGGGTACAGATAGGGGAGATGAGAGGAGGGGGATTATTGGACTGTTATAGGTGGGGGTTGTCCAGGAGGTGGGTACAGGTTAGTCTGGTGCATCGTGGGGGAGGTACAGTACTGTGGTGGGTAGCAGCACTTGCAAGTATAAGAGACATACATCCCGCTATCCTCCTCACAACACTCAGGATGAACGTCAAGCACGTGACTCTTCTTCTATTGGCCGTCGCTGTTGGTGAGAACTTTCTTCACCATCATTTCCTTCAGCTACCAAATCCATTTCAATTTTTGTTTTCCATTTGCAGAAAAATATTCCGAGGGCATTAAGCACATAGATTTGTAAAGTCACTCTTTTGCTGTACATATATATTCAAAGATATGCCAACATGTTAACCTGGAGGGCATCACGGAAATGTCCTGAAAAGCTACACTGGAGGAAACTGTCCAATGTGTCTTCGTGACAAATGGGGAAAAAGACACTTGCAGAAATCAATTTCATTGAGATGTTTCGCTTGTGAGCAGGGACTGGCCGAGAAACCCTGTCTACAAGCGAAACGTCTCAAAAATTAATTTCTCCCTTTGTGTTTTTAGTTTGTATCTTATTACACTTGTTGCCCCTATTCACTTATTAGTAAATAGGTACCTGTGTGTACATATTTACTAGTGGTTTACGTGATCATGATACTAATACCATCTTACTGAAACATAAACATTTACACTATGAATGTCGTGTATCAATGACTTGTTAATCAGACTCGTTGAAAATTTACAGGAGATTGTCAGATTTAAAATTCTTTGCTTTTAAGTGCGCAGACACATATCAGGGAGGATCCTGTCACATATTTTATATATACCATAAATAAAATAATAACGCTCTGTCACCTCCAGAAGTTGAGCAAAGCTTTAACTGTGACAGTGTTTAGCTGTGTAAAGCTTTAGTACTGTCTAGTGTTGATCTTAAACAAGCTGTGGTAATCCCAGTGTTGATCTTAAACAAGCTGTGGTATTCCCAGTGTTGATCTTAAACAAGCTGTGGTATTCCCAGTGTTGAGCTTAAGCAAGTTCTAGCAGTTCCAGTGGTGATATCAAACAAGTTCTGGCAACTCAGTGGTTTTACCTGGAGAAGGTTGTCGGGGGTCAACGCCCCCGCGGCTCGGTCTGAGACCAGGCCTCCTGGTGGATCAGGGTCTGATCAACCAGGATGTTACTACTGGCCGCACGCAAACTGACGTACGAACCACAGCCCGGCTAATCAGGTACTGACTCATGTGCCTGTTCAGAGCCTTCTTGAAGACAGCCAGGGGTCTTGAAGACAGCCAGGGGTCTTGAAGACAGCCAAGGGTCTTGAAGACAGCCAGGGGTCTTGAAGACAGCCAGGGGTCTTGAAGACAGCAGGGTCTTGAAGACACCCCAGGGTCTGAAGACAGCCAGGGGTCTTGAAGACAGCCAGGGGTCTTGAAGACAGCCAGAGGTCTTGAAGACAGCCAGAGGTCTTGAAGACAGCCAAGGGTCTTGAAGACAGCCAGGGGTCTTGAAGACAGCCAGGGGTCTTGAAGACAGCCAGGGGTCTTGAAGACAGCCAGGGTCTTGAAGACAACCAGGGGTCTTGAAGACAACCAGGGGTCTTGAAGACAACCAGGGGTCTTGAAGACAGTCAGGGGTCTTGAAGACAACCAGGGGTCTTGAAGACAGCCAGGGGTCTTGAAGACAGCCAGGGTCTTGAAGACAACCAGGGGTCTTGAAGACAACCAGGGGTCTTGAAGACACCAGGGGTCTTGAAGACAGTCCAGGGGTCTTGAAGACAACAGGGGTCTTGAAGACAGCCAGGGGTCTTGAAGACAGCCAGGGGTCTTGAAGACAACCAGGGGTCTTGAAGACAACCAGGGGTCTTGAAGACAGCCAGGGGTCTTGAAGACAACCAGGGGTCTTGAAGACAGCCAGGGGTCTTGAAGACAACTAGGGGTCTTGAAGACAACCAGGGTCTTGAAGACAGCCAGGGGTCTTGAAACAACCAGGGGTCTTGAGGACAGCCAGGGGTCTTGAAGACAGCTAGGGGTCTTGAAAACAACCAGGGGTCTTGAAGACAGCCAGGGGTCTTGAAGACAGCCAGGGATGGTGGTGATATCAGACAAGTTCTGGCAACTCCATTAATGATCTTAAACAAGTCCCTAGCACCTCGTATTTTAATTTTAGTAAGGCAATATAACATTAGAATATCATATAAGATGTTAATGTCGATCGCAACCAACTTTGGTATTCATTTTATCAACCATAAAAACAAAAGTACTAGTAGTTTTACTTAAAAACAGTATCCCTAGATCTTCCACTGCAGTTCGTGTGTTTTATTAATCAAATGGAAATGAGAGTAAGACACATGTGCAACATCTGGGTATCTTTATTGTAGACGTTTCGCCATCCAGTGGCTTTATCAATACAAATTCTAGGACATAACTTGAAGACAGTAGAACTATGTACAGAAGATGAGGTAATCAGTCTGATTACCTCATCTTCTGTACATAGTTCTACTGTCTTCAAGTTATGTCCTGGAATTTGTATTGATAAAGCCACTGGATGGCGAAACGTCTACAATAAAGATACCCAGATGTTGCACATGTGTCTTACTCTCATCTTGTCGGTATTATATACCATTCGTACACAAATGGAAATGAATGAGTAAAAGAATGAAAACTGATTTCAGGTATTTTCTTGTTATTGCTGTTAGCTATAACAGTTATGTGGATAAGTAAGACATGTGCAACACTTTTGTATCATTATTGCTGAAACGTGTCACATACAGTAGGCTTCTCCAGTTATATACAGAGGCAGGAGGTGTAGTAGTGAAATTAAGATGATGGAGAAATTGTATTTGAGGGACTGACCACCTCCAGATACAACATCTCCAAGGCTGATTGACTGTTTATATCATTTTCATTTCACTACTACACCTGCTGCCTCTGTATTTAACTGAAGAATTGAGACATTTATGTAACGTATGGGAATCTTTATTTAGGAAACGTTTCGCCATACAGTGGCTTCATCAGTCCAATACAGAGCAGAAAGGTGTAAGGAGAGGAGTTTGAGGTAATCAGTCCCTCAGCCTGAAGTCGATGTGGTTCGTCCTTACACCTTTTTGCTTTGTATTGGACTGATGAAGCCACTGTGTGGCGAAACGTTTCCTAAATAAAGATTCCCATATGTTGCATAAGTGTCTCAATCTTCAACTTGTCGGTTTTTAAAAACCATTCATCTTAACTGAAGAAGCCTACTGTGTAGGCGAAACGTTTCATCGTTATCTTAATCATTAACTTTTCGGTGTTTTATACCATTTTCAACACAAGTCATGTGGTGTGAAAGTAATTTTTTTACCTTCTTTTCCCCTGGTGTTGACATCCATCAGCTGAGGCACAGTGGGAGTGTACAGGGCACACATGTGAAAGTAATGGCTTCTGTCTACCCTCACGTTATGTGTGTGACGGCTTTAGTGACTGTGTTGGAGGAGACGACGAAGTAGACTGCAGTAAGTTCTTTCTAGTTATTTTCAACTCTTTCCCTCCCTATCTTTCTCTCTTTTCAAATAATTTTTGCTTTATTCTTGATTTTCCTTTTCTGTTGGTCATATTTTATTTACTGTAAAGTTTCAGATAACCTACCAACGGTGCCCAGAAATTCCTACATTAGCTGAACTTTGAGAATCTTTAAGATCTATAACATTTGAATTGAGATTCTTACGTATCTCAGTCACCTGAACTCCTCGTTAGGGGTTTCTAACAAGGTATTCAGCTGATAAATAAATATCTAGATGGAGAATTTTGAATGTTGCATTCCGTAGATCGATTACTAGCGTACTCAGCTCACACACAGAGTTCCGGCGGTCGATCCCCGGTACGGGTGGAAAAATTAGAACGTATTTCCTTAAGACACCTGCTGTCCATGTTCACCTAGAAGTAAAATAAGTACTTGAATGTTAGTTGACTGGTGTGGGTCGCATCCCGGGGACCAAATTGACTTAATTTGCCCGAAATGCTCTGCATAATAAGCGGCTTTCTATATTGTAGGATGTCACTGATGTCAGCTATGGTCTGTATATCTTGTACATGTACTGGTAGAAATAAATATTATTATGACCAGAATTCATTATAAAAGGTTCAGATATGATAAAATATATTCATCTTACATCTAACACAACCTTACGTTTCACATTCTATTGATAATAATTGCTTGACCTCCTGCCACACTACCTCCAGCTCAAAATACTAAATTAACCCTTCTTCAGCATTTCTAAAAACAGAAACCAATTAAAAGTTTACACCGAGGCTTCCATGTCCAATTCCCAGAAGTATTTATGGTCCATAAAATTAAGATTTTTCACTTGATATAGAACACTAAAGTTCCTTCCCAAGAGTTTTTCACACTAGGTCTCTATTATTTTCATCATTGCAGCATACTGTAAGGAAGGTTTCTACAAGTGCGGGACGGAAGACTACTGTATTGTGGAACATTATACATGTGATGGCTATGAAGACTGTCCTGGTGGTGAAGACGAGGCTGACTGCCGTAAGTTTTCCAAAACTAATATTTTCCCAAGTCACAGAAGTAGTTGAAGTGTGGCGTAGCTGATAAGTGGTTAAAAAAAAAAAGCACATATTAGAAAAGCACAGACTTTTATTACGACGTTTCACCTACCTGAGCCACTGTAAAGTACATAATGAACTTGATACAGCCTCATGATGGTGAATTATTATTATAATCAAAAAGAAGCGCTAAGCCACAAGGGCTATACAGCGCTGTAGGGCAGGAAGGAAGCGAGGGCATCAGGTGGCAAAAGGGAGATGGATGAGTAATAGGTTACGGATAACAGCGGAGCAGTGGATGGTGAAAGGGTAAAGGGCAGCAAGAAACTCTGATGATGATACCTTACGCACTCCCCTCAGCCCTTTATAGCTCAGCCTCATGATGGTGAAGCGTCGTACTAATAAAAGGTCTTTTGAGTCTCTCAGTTGTAAAAATATATATCTTTCATAATGCAACACCCTGGTTAATATAACTGTGGATTTCGTGACTTGTTCCTAGTCCCAAATCTCACTGTCCTGATATTACTGAGGAAACAGTGTATGACGTGTTATAAGCGATCTATGTCTTAAACTACTGCGACACGACATAGTTTTAATATAAACAAAGTTGTGTTTGCCCTTCGTAGAGTCAGATTCAACAAAGCTTAATCCTGAACAAAGCGTCTAGAACAAGGCTTTACATTATATGCTTTTTATACCCAAATGTTGACTTACGACTCCAGTCACCGTTCACTGTCTAGCAGATTCAGGGTTCCCCATTAATGATAACTAAGCGCTAAACCCATCAGGGTTCCCCAGTGGTCAATATCGATCCCTAATGGTCGATGGGACTATCGAAGACGATAAATGTCTTTCCCATTAATGATAAAGTTTCAGTAAAAAACGGTATTGTTAAATCTTATATATTTTACATAATTGAAATATTACCTATTTTTGTAGTATTTATTATTATTCGCAATACTATTATTAAAGTTGTATTAAATTGTCATAAAATAAATGTATGGGGGTCGATAAGCTGGAGATTGTATGTTATACAATAAGCTGGAGATTGTATGTTATACAATAAGCTGGAGATTGTATGTTATATAATAAGCTGGAGATTGTATGTTATACAATAAGCTGGAGATTGTATGTTATACAATAAGCTGGAGATTGTATGTTATACAATAAGCTGGAGATTGTATGTTATACAATACCGTCGAGGTGAAGAATTAGACATGTGTGCAACGTCTGGGTATCTTTATCTGTAGACACTTCGCCATCTTTTATATATACGTAGTTCTATAATCTTCACATTATGCCCTTGTATTGCATTGATAAAGCCACTGGAGGGCGAAACGTCTACAAATAAAGATACCCAGATGTCGCACATGTGTCTGATTCTTCACGAGGAGCTGAAGAGTTGGGGACTGATGGTCCAGCTTGTGCTGGGTGTGCACATGATCTTGCAACGATTGACAACAATGAAGTGCTCCCGTAAACTGGATTTTTTCTTGCAGCTGTTGTAACTGGAACTCCGACGTGTAACGAAGGCCAGTACCAGTGTTATGATGGCCTCTGTGTCGATGAAATGTTTGTCTGTGACGGTCTCCGGGATTGTTACGAATCAGACGACGAGCTGGGATGTAGTGAGTATTACAGTGCCTATGTTGATTAATGGGGCGTAAAACCTATCAACTACACAAGGGAATTAATTATAACTATAATTTTGAAAGGGGGGGGTGTAGGGGTAAGCCAGCGGAAGGCCTCGGTCAGCTGTGACGTACTACCATGCATATTAGTAAACATTGAAAACATGCAATAGCAGAAACTGGTAGTTTATATAATGCAGCATACAGATTTTATTTTTAGGTTAAATACTTGCTACAGGAATGTTTTTTTGACACGGCTCATCTTGAAGGATAAACTTGTCCACACGCCTGAATTAACCCATACTTTAGTTTATATTTGTGAATTATATTTGCAACAGAAGGGTTTATGCAAGTGGTATAAAGTTACCTCAGGTTACAGCCTACTGACATACATCACCTTCCCTCCCCCCTCGACACTAAGACTCATCGCTTTTTAGAAACACGCTACTTTTCTTGTTCTCATCCTGGTTATATTTTGATACATAATCGTCGTTAGGTTAGGTAAGGTTTGTCAGAAAACAGGACAAGTGTTTCCTGACGCGGATCTTAGCCCTATAATGACCCACAGCTGGAGCTTTTGGTCATCTGACTGAAGCCTTCCACTGGCTTATCCCTCCAATTATGGTTATGATTATAGGGATTTTTATTGATATAATTTTCATTGCCACACATAAATTTGTTATAACTTTTGACATAAATGATTTAGTATAATCAGTTTTTCACAATATCTAATATTTTTCTACATGAATTAAATTGTATTTTGTTAGATATGGTAATTCTGAGTTATGATATACATAATATTTACTAAAAAAATTGAGAAAATTTAATATTGAAACACTCCAGAAATTGGAAAATGTGTAGCAAAGGCCTTTCAACATCGCTAAGATTGTCTCATTAGTGTCAGTTAAGAAATATGTGGAATTGATTAATTAATTGAGTTTAAAGGCTATCATCACACGAGGGTCATTAGGTTACATAAAAAATTTCACTGCCAATCAAAAATATTTTGAAACCAAATGCAGGCCTATTAAGTTAAATATACATACATATCCATCCATCCATCCACTCGTACATATTGCTCTCGGTGTACACATATCACCAGACATAGTGTTTTTATATATAATATTTACAAATGGAACATTACAGCTGCGTGCAAGGAAGGCTTCCTGTGCTCCAATGAACTGTGCATCCCTGATAGTTATGTTTGTGATGACTACGAGGATTGTAGACGAGGCGAAGATGAGACTATATGCAGTGAGTTATTTAATTTCTTGACTAATATATCTATCACTATCGTATAAGTCTTGGTAATAGATGCCGACAAGTGGGCTAAAAAGAACAGACGCTAAGATATATTAGAAATGCTTCAGTCCTGAGAAATTATCGTTCCAAGAGTGAAGCGTTTTATTATATCCTAGTGTCTACCACTACCATCACTACCACCACCATAACAAGGTCATCTTAAAGCCTCTACCATCATATATATTACTGTGCATAAATCCATTACGTGTTCATCCACAATCACCTTCAATATATATACATGTATATATATATGTCGTGCCGAATAGGCAGAACTTGCGATCTTGGCTTAAATAGCAACGTTCATCTTGCCATACAGGACAAGCGAAAATTTGTGTATGCAATAATTTCGCCAAAATCATTCTGAACCTAACGAAAAAATATATTTCACTGTGTTTGTTTAATATATATATATATATATATATATATATATATATATATAATATATATTATATATATATATATATATATATATATATATATTATATATATATATATGCATATGTCGTGCCGAATAGGTAAATCTTGCTATTTTGGCTTAAATAGCAAAGCTCTTCTTGCCGAATAAGGAAAGCGAAAATGTGCGTATGCAGTAATTTCGTAAACAATCATTCTGAACCTAACGATAAAAAAGACATACGTATTTCATTGTTTTTGTTTATTAAATTATTGTAAACTTAACTAAAATATATTTACTTGGATTAGGCTAAATTAAATTGCGCTTCTTATAATAAGGTTAAGTTTTCTAATTTTCTTTTGGTACAAATTATTATTTTTTACATTAACATAAATGAAAAAAATATATATTTAAACGTATAAGAGAAAATTTTAGAAAAGACTTAATTTGAAATGAGTTCTTGTTAACTGGCCAGTTTTACCTATTCGGCACGACATATATCTTTCATCCATGGACTGCTTACAGTTAAACGCAATGTTCGCGGTTTTCACAGAGATCCACATAAAGGATCACTTTGACGATGAAATATAGATCCTGGGTTTATAACCTATACAGGTGCGACAGTGACCAGGCAAAAAGGGGGGGGGGATGGGGGGTGTTGGCCTGTACGTCACAGTCACTGATATGCTCGGAACTACTAAATGCCTCAAATGATATAGTTGAAATTTTGGCAGTAACGATCGAGAACCAAAACCTGGTCATTGTGGTTGCATACAAGCCTCCGGATGCAACTTCCCAACAATTCCAGGAACAGCTTTTGAAAATAGACCTATCTGGAAAATCTTCGAGCTCCTGTCCCAAACATCTTGCTCCTGGGGGGATTTCAACCTAAGGTACCTAAAATGGAGGAATGTAGCAAATAATGCTGTCGCAGAGATAATCTGTGCACCAATTCACCTTAAACCAGCAAACAATAGCGCCAGCAAGACTGGAGAATACAATGGACCTCATCTTCACTAACAATGATGATCTGATACGAAATATTACCATATCTAAAACAATATACTCAGATCACAACGTAACAGAGGTTCAGACACGTATGCGCGGGGCTCCAGACCAACAAATTGTGATCCAAACCTATGTCTAGAACAAATTAACTTTGTGGCACTCGAGGTATGCTCAAGTTATATTCCTTTAAGAAAAAGGTAGAGAGGATATAAACTAGAAAAAGGCGCTCCCCATACAGGCGAAAGCACAGAATAACAGAGCGGTTAAAAGATGCCACTATATCTGTAATACGAAGGGAGACACTGGTCAGAGAAATAGCAAGCATCGCACTAAAGCTAAAGGAATCTTACAGGAGTCAAGAAACACGGGAAGAACTAAAAGCCATAAATGATACTGAAAGAAATCCGAAATATTTCTTTTCTCATGCCAAATCTAAGTCGAGAACAACATCCAGCATTGAGCCCCTACTTAGACGAGATGGGTCTTACACAGATGACAGCAAGGAAATGAGCGAGCTACTCAAGTCCCAATATGACTCGGCTTTTAGCGAGCCGCTAACCAGACTGAGAGTCGAAGATCTAAATTAATTTTTTATGAGCGAGACAGAATTTGGTAGACTCAAACGTATCTAATATTATCCTGACGCCCAATGACTTCGAAAAGGCGATAAATGACATGCCCATGCACTCTGCCCCAGGGCCAGACTCATGGAACTCCGTGTTCATCAAGAACAGCAAGAAACCCTTATCATGTGCTTTTAACATCCTATGGATAAGGAGCATGGACACAGGGGTCGTCCTACAGCTGGTAAAAGCAAGACAGAACCCCACTACAGACCGATAGCGCTAACATCCCATATCACAAAAATCTTTGAAAGGGTTCTAAGAAGCAAGATCGCCACCCATCTAGATACCCATTAGTTACACTACCCAGGGCAACATGGGTTTATAACAGGTCGCTCCTGCCTGTCCCAACTACTGGACCACTGTGACAAGGTCCTGGATGCTCTAAAGACAAACAAAACGCAGATGTAGTATACACAGACTTCGCGAAAGCCTTTGACAAGTGTGACCATGGTGTAATAGCGCACAAAATGCGTTATAAAGGAATGACAGGAAAAGTTAGTAGATGGATTTATAATT